TTTCACCCACGAATGCACATCGATGAGAGATGTCGCCAGATGTCGCTTCAATCGAGATTGTTGTCAAAAATTTGATATTCTTGTAATAAGGATAAGTAAAATAGCGTATTACTAGAAAAAAAAAAAACAAGGATACTGTACAGTTTAACTCTTATTTCTGACGCGTCTACTTCATCTGTCAGAGAAAAGTGCGCGCCACTACGAGGGTCTAAAAAATTTATTATGTTTAATTAAACAGATAACGATCGAATTAATTAAAGATCTTCCAGCGGCGACATTAGTTGCCTCAATACTTCCATCTCCGCGCGCGATTTCTCTCGGGTCAACGCGCACCAACCACCACTACCACGTACCCTCGAGAGCGACAAATTGCGAAGTTATCCCCTCTCTTTCTCGAAACGCGACACTTATAGAGAATTAATAGCGGCTTTTATTGCGAGTTCTCGAAGTAACTGGCGGAATTGCCAAAAAAGTTTAAGTCGATCTATGTCGACGGCGGCGACGCAGGCTAACGCAGGCGCAAACGTGCCGTTTCCATGGCGCCGTTGCTATACAGTTAGGTAATGTTGGATTAGACATTACGCCGTTTCCCAACCCTCTCCGGGTAACGTTCAGTACACCCTAAACCATCGTCGCGGTTAGAGGATCTCTTGCACCTTCCTACCTGCACACGTGCATATAGACACACGCAGGCACGGGGACTGCACGCATATTATACCTACACATACGTATAGATACACACGTAGATACGGTGTACCATACGCATGCACCAGCGTCCACCCACGCATTTGAGGGAAAACGCGTGGCTATTTACCCCCTATTTACGATACGGTCCGTCCGGCCAGTGTATCCGCTAGCTCGTTTGTTTATTCAGTCATCTATCCTGCTCTGCTCTTTCGATCCACCAGTGATTTTCATTCATTCACACACACACACACACACACACACATACACACATTTGCGTGTCTCTCCTCTTCTTCCCCTCCGATGGTGTTCATTTATCGTCGTGTTCGCTCCATCCCTCGTACGCTACAGTGACGTTCGAAATATATCCTCGATAATCTCATGTTGATTTATGTATGTGCCACAGCTTTTTTAATCACATTCCCGTGTCACGTACCAAGTCACGATCTCGCTTGAATCCAATCGGACTGAGTATTTTTGCCCTTCGGGGTACGCTTCGACACCACCACCACCACCGGCGTGGACCCTAAAATCCAGGCTGCGTGCACGTAATCCAGCACAGTGTCGTGGGACGAAAGTGGCGGGTGGTGTGTTTACTGTGGTGGCGGCGAGGGTATTATCCTGACGAAACTAAAACTGGTCAGGTCAGTAACACGGGGTGAGTCGACGAGATATCTTGGACTCTTCGTATCGCTTCCGATTGTTTTTCATTTTGGATGTTGTAATTAAATACATTTAGTGTTTCTCAATGACACGAGCAAATTTATATGTGTATGTCTCAAATAATCTTTACAGTTTAAATTGTTTTTTTTTTTTGCACAAGGATTTCTTGGAAACGTTTTTTGTAACTATAGCATTGAGGAAATTTTCATGTATGTAGTTGGCATGAAATCAATATTGTTTAAATCATTTTGTTGTTTCTTTTTCAATTTTATTGCATTTTTAAATTTCATTTAATAATTTATCTCCCTTATTTTTCAGAAAATCTTGTTTTCAGAAAAATTTTGTAATATTTTATAAATTATCTGTATGTAAAACTGAAAATATCCAAAATCATATAGATAAAGCTTACTTTGTAATTTAAAAATTGTTTTTAGGCATCATGGAAAAGAAATTAAAATCGTAAGAAAAAAGAGGGAAAGGGAAAGATTTATACATACAATATTGGAATATCCACTGCAGAGAGATATTAATTATTCTATTTATGAACCATTGTTACTACGTAACAAAAACGTATATAAAATTAATTAAATCATACGGATATCATTTTCAACAATTGAGATAACAATTATCGCCATTAAAACAATACGTATACATCATTAACTACATTTACACGGCACCCTTAATCCATAGTTTAACAACATCCGTAATTATGAAACTGGCCAATCATAATTATTCTATTTTTCACAGGAATAGCTGTGATTGGTCAGTTTCATAACTACAGATTAATAACTACAGTTATTAAGAGTGCCGTGTAAACGTGATCAGTATAATCTCTAAATATGTATTTTATTTATTAATAATAAAAATCTCGTTACTTTGTAATGCCTCTGAAAACACGTATAAAATATAACCGTGTGAATCGAGTATAATTACGGAGTATATTGTGTAATAGTTTTTTTGAATTAGTGATAAAAATCATAGAAAATCCCTTTGCGTGTGTCCAACATGTGCAACCGTTGTCGCGTGAAAACACGCGACTGCAGCGACTTTTTTTCTCGCTCTAGATTTTGGACGTTGACGCGCGTCGGGAGAACGCGGGAACGCGCGTCCCCAGTTACATTTACAGAAACATTAGAGAAATGATCGATACACGACAGGTCGCTATGACAAAAATAGACGAATGTTCGTAATGCGTCCGTATAGAGGTAAATATGTTTCACCGCTGCCGTGCATGCCGGCTATGTATAAGGTAGTAGATAGGCATATGCACGTAGGGGATGGAGGGGTGCGTGACGCGCGACACGACGGGGTCGCGCAGGCGCTACCTGTAGACTCCGCGGAATACGTGATGATAAATACTAAATTTAACCCCCGGGTGAAACGACGCGACGTCAGGCTATCCGGATCGATAACACTTTTCTGGCGTCTCCCTTTCTTTTTTTTATCGGTGAAACGTGACTTTGCTTATGTAGGGCGTTTATGTATATAAATCGTTGACCGCAGAGGTCGACGGAGGCGCGTACCCCATCCGTGTGATACATCCGATACCTATCGTGTGACAAAGCCTTTATTAAAATTCCGCAACGCTTAAAATTCCGCTCTATCGGGCCAAGACAAAAATTTGCGCGAGACACGGCGGAGAATGTTAACTATCTACTTGTTATAAAAATAGAGCCTTTAAATTCTGACAGAATTTTTAATATAATTAAAATCTTTTTTTTTTTTTAATTAGCAACGTAAAAAATTTTATGTATTCCATTATTATAGTTAAAGACTACTGTTATGATTTTGTAATAACTATTTTATATATGGCCGTATAAGCCAATATATTAAAATTAAACGCAAAATATTCCAAAATCGACGTTATACATAAAGTTGTAATTTATACTATACGCGTTAATTAACTAACTTTCATTTAGTTACGCTTTATGAATACTTTACTACAAGATGAATACTGAAACTATCACAATTTATTATTTAATCACAGAAATAAATCAAATATATTAATTTCTATCCTCTCTAATTAGATAAATTATATACAAAAGTTAGAGAAATTCTTATTTAAAATACAGAATTAAGTTGCAAATAATTTATTTGCAATTTAATTTATTAAACAATTATTTACATAATTAGTTTGTACAATTTTTGAATAATTATAAAATAAAATTGAAATTTTTAATTCGCTATTGTAGAAGAATAAATACATTATTTATCTGATTATCAGTTATAATACATATATATTTATATGTTAACAATTGGAATCCTATAACATCATTAAAAGCTATTATACGCATCATTTGATGATATGCAATAGCTTTTAATGATAAATTTATTTAATTGTGTAATAGAATATATAATCAGCTTTTTATATATCTATATTGCTCTTTATATCCATGAAAATGTCTGAAATATCAATATATATTTCCGCTTATTCCACATATTTCCATATAAATGTCATGCATTTCACGTATATGAGAAATTATTAATATAATTCCAACGAACGTAATTAAACAATGTATATCATCCACGAAAATTTGAGACTAATCCAATCTATCAAAGGCAGTAATATTCAGCCCAACATAAAGTATATATTTTATGTCATGTTCCATAATACTCTTTAATTCAAAGATATGATAATAAGAATAATATTGCATAGGATATGAAATAGGACTGAAAATATTGTTCTATATAGTTAAGTGGGAAAAAAAGAAATGCCAAAACAGCCATAGGAGAAAATTAAAATTATTTATAATCTTTCAATCAAAAAAGGAAATAGAATGCTAATTTAATTTATATAAGACGGTTTCATTTTTCTCATTTTGTGTATTTCAATCAACAGTAGGAAGGATAAGAGTAAAAAAAATGTAAATTATATTTTTAAAAGGTAAATATATTATATATATATTAGGTGTTGGAATTAATTCGTAGCGTTTTACAAGTGATGGGAAGTACTTTCATTAATGTATTTTTTAATGCTCATGTGAAATAAATAACATTCTTTCATTAAAAAACGCTACGAATTAATTCCAACACCTAATAATTTAAATTTAGATTTTTCAAATGTTTTTTCAAATGATTAAAAATTGCTAATCTTTCCTTCTCTTAACTTCAAACTTCTGTCTTTAAGAGATTGTCTCAATTTTTTAATATCGTTTAAAAGCATATATATATATATATATGTACATATATATGTATTACAAACTATTTACATATCTTGTTATAAATAATATAATAACAACTCTTTTTGAACTTGTTATGAAAAGAACATACATGAAATGTTATACTTAGATTACTTGCGTCTCAAAATAAAGTTTGCATTCTATGGAATCCGTTACACACCTTGACATACAATATATTTAAAATAATTTACATGTGAACAAATGCAGAATATTCTATCAAATACGACATGATGTAACGCTGTCGTATTAGACTCGTAAAATACAGAAGTTTTTAGAATTATATAAAATACATTATTAACTCCAAAATTATTAAATTATATTTATTATATCAAGTTTTACAAAAATAAATTATATCATTATTGTAATAAATTGAAAAAAAAAGTACATCTTGTTGATTCTAAGAAACGTAGTAAAACAACATGTTTGATATATACACTCTCTCTCATTCTTTTTATTTTTTCCTATTCTTTTTTATTAAAGAACATCTGATATCTTGGGAATATCTATCCTACCTCTCGAGAGGCCCGTCGTACCATCACCTTTATTCGCACAAAGCCTATCGACGAGCTTGGCGTTTGGTGTCTTTAAATCATACGCCCATCCCAACCAAGCCATGAAATCTATAAAAGCGGTAGTTAAATTGAGACGGTAGAAGCCAAGCTCCGCAGCCTTATAGTCCCACGGGAAGCAATGATGGTAATTGTGCCAACCCTCGCCGATAGTAAAGAAGGACACCACAGGATTCTCCGTTGACTTAAGAGTTCTAGAACAAAAAAAAAGAGAAAAAGAAGTTTTCGCCGTTTGATCCAGATCGGCTACACGAATAAATTTTTGCCGGAATATCATGCAACAGATTATTTAAGCGAAATAGCACTTTTTACAATTTCTTTCTTCTACAATATTATAACTATGGAATACAACATTTAATAAATATATTTATTTATGAATATTTAACATGTTTATAATACATTTGTGTGTACTTTACTTTAAAAAGTGGGGTTGTAAGAAAATTTTTTAATTCCCCGAAAATTTCTTATTGTTTATAATACCGATTTCTTCCGTGGAAGAAAATAAGTATAATTTTCTTCAAAATAAAAATCTCTAAGTATTTTTTATAAGTATGATTTTAAATACGATTTTGTAATATTTAATGTTATGGAAATTATGAATAATATAATAATTACTATGAAATTCGTTAAAAATGATTTTTGATATATTTATTTAATCGAAGTATTGATTAAAAACTATAAAATAATATTGATTATGGATGCTGTAATTATTAAAAAAATATTATCTTATTTATCTATTATGAGGATTTAATTGGAATAATTTCTCGATTATTCCAATTAAATTCTCATTAAATTGTGTATCAAAATATGTAATCCTTTTAAATTAGAGTTTTTTTTGGTTTATGATCTGATTATGATCCGAACATTATGCTGGTTAATTTTAACGATAATCGTACAAACATGTATGCTCTCCAAAGATTGACACGTACCTGTTGTACGGTCGATTGCCCCACAAGTGAGCGAAACTATTGACAGAGAAGGTTGAATTCAACGCCCACACATACCGGATAATTACGCTGCTTATGCTTACGTCCCAGGTTTCGTTCCATACATAGACCGGTACTATAGCCGGCAGGACAAAGCACAGTGGCACCATAATCAGAGCGTAATACCTGCAATAAAGAACATTCTAGTGTTCAGCAAGTGTTACACATATGTAAAGTGTTACACCAATACGTGTAATCGCATCCCGTTCCTTTCACGACCGTGTGAATCAAGCACATAAATCAAAATAAATTGCGATAAAAGCGCATTCAATTCCGCTCTCTGATGAGACACTTTACACTGATTGATTACTACTTAATCTCTCATCTCGGAGAACAACGTGTCACGCAATTTCAAACACTGCGGATAATTACGAAGCGATTTCGCGAGCAATCCAACTCAATCATCGTTGATCTTTTCTTTTTACAAACGTCGAACTCCATTTCCCGTTTATTTTTTACAGCTCTGAACATAAATTGTGTAATATTATCTAGGTTTTGTTCCTCACGAGCATCTCTTCAAGTTTCCTCTCCTTTTATTACAAGTCTTCATTTATCATGAATATAATGAGAAACTTGTAAATTATTTCTATAGAATTTTTTCTAGACATTTTCTCATTTGCGCTTTTTTATTTTGTTTATATTATTTTGGTTTTTTTTTGTAGCAAAATAAAAATTTGTTTTCAAGTTCTTTTATGCTATGTATTAAAAATAATATATAATAATAAGGGAGAGATAGAGAGAGAGAGAGAGAGAGAGAGAGAGAGAGAGAGAGAGAGTAATCTTATCTTGAAAAACATAAAAATAGATTTGAAATTGATAGATTCTGTTGGAAGTATTTAAAAGATCGTATTTTGTTACGACAGTTGATGATAATATAATTGAAATTGATATGTGTCAGTAAATTCGATCGTAAGTCGATTATGCGACTAATTACATTATTAATTACAATAGCAATTAATTACATTTTTCAAACGTGAACGTTTTATCACAAATTAGTAAAGAATACGTCGTGTCGAATTATTAAACTCACTTGTCAACAAAACGTATTACAGAATCAGCAGCGATATCGCTCATATCCACATTTTTACCGTATTTCTTAACTGCTGGATGATGCTTCATCATTAACCAGCCAATGTGTGAGAAAAAAAAGCCGCGGTTAGCGTTATGTGGATCCGCACACGTATCTGTGTATCTATGATGTGTTCGATGAACGCGAAGCCATTTAGACGGATGAGTCTGCGAAATAGGAAGAATTTTAATAATTAGAATTAAAACGAATGATGATGCCTTTCAATATCGAAAGTTTCAGTGCGAATTTATATACATAAAACAAGTCAATGATTATTCAAACGTTTTGACATTTACTGTAGTCATCCTCAGTGTGAATAATCCTTGACTTGTTTATTGTTTTATGTATAGATAAGTTCGACACTTAACGTGGAATATCCTTAATATTGAAATATTTAAATTTATGTTCTTAAAACCTTTCTATAAAATTAATTAATTAGTAAATATTTCTAAATACAATATATATAAAATTAAGCGATTATTTCTTCTGCCCACAAAAGTAGACAATTTTCAAAAGAGTATACCTTCAAAATTAATCACAATGTGGAACGAAATGTATTTTAAAGTTTGAAATCTTTATTTTTCAAATCAGTAGTTTATATAGACAACGATTTGATTGATTTTTTACGGAGTTTCGTGGATATAAATGGAGATTCGAAATCTCAAAATTGTTTACAAAGTTGAATTTTACAAAGTTCCATGGCGTAAATTAGAAATTACATATGGAAGCAATTTACAGCTTTTGAAAAAGTGAATCTTTAATTTGCGTATTTGTTGAGTGTTGTACGATTTTTTTACCGAGTTATTCAATAGTGACGCAAAAAGCTTCTTTTTTACTTTGACTGTTTACAGAAAACGGAACATTGTTGGATATCCTTTAAAAAAGACTGGAAAAATTTACATTTTCTCTAAGTTGCATCTATCATTTTTTTTATATAAAGAAACTTTTTGTATGTAAACTTTGCTTATGAGGGGCTAAATATTAAACGATTAACATATTATTATTCAACTATATATTCTAGCAACAACATTAAAAATACATTAAAAATATTATAATCTTAATCATTCATATCCTTCATATTTGAAACAACTTTGCGTAAAATAACATTTGTTTGATTCTATCGCAGTATGTCTGTGTATGTATACGGTGTATATGTACATGTAATAGATAGAGAAAATTCAGAATTGCTTAATCTTCTATGAGCAAAATAAAAAGAAACACTTTTTGCTGCAATGTTAAACAACTCGGTGAAAGAAAATCGTATAACGCTCAACAAGTACGCAAAAAAAAGAAAAAAATAAAGATTCGTCCTTTCGAAAGTTGTAGACTGCTTTCATGTACGATTTTTAATTCACACCATAAAATTTTTCAAAGTTTATAAAAAATTTGAGATTCGATAGATCTCCATTTGTATATCCCTGTAATTACATAAAAAGATCAATCAATTTGTTATTTAAATTATCGATTTGAGACTATAGTAGAAACTACAAGTTTTATACTTTTTGGATCATCTCTTTAAATGATAATTTTTGATAAAATGACACTTTCTTGAATATTGCTTTATCGAATATTTGGAGGAATAGGTAAACTCTTTCAATCTTTTGGAATAGTGTAAAATGTTCTATTACTTTACAATATTATCACAATTATTTAAGGATTTCTATTGCAAACAGAAGTAGTTCTGAAAATAATAACTTGAGGTAGATTATAATAAATTTCAATGTTGGTTATCAACTGACCAGATATAATATTGTAATATTTAAGAATCTTACCTGACCAGCCAAGCAATATAATAAAACAAGTAGTATTCTAAGTGGCAATTTGGCGCTATAGCTCCTATGTGCCCAAAGACGATGAAGACCAGCTGTTACGCCAAAACCAGCAGAAAGTAAATATAAGATTGCTGAAAATAAACAGTACATAAAACAGAAGCAACATCAGATCTTTTCTTTCATTGTTTACCACGTATTAATGATAATAATAATAAAATGAAAAAATATTTAAAGGAACATGTTAAAATATTAAAATAATTTTTAGTTTATAAATAATTAAGAATAAATGATTCTTTTTAAATTAAATTTGAAATGTACAAAGAAATAATGTAATTTTATTTTTTAATTAATTTCAGGGAAATTTAATTTAACATAATTTTTAATTTAAAATTTGTCCACTAAAATCTCAACTAAAATTTGGAAATGTTTGGAAATGAGAAATGTGAAATTAGAGGTACGATGAATAATAATTTCTCTTGATATTTCTGCTGAAAAAAATTGACTACAAAGTTTATCAAAAAATACATTAGGCTTACATTAGGCTTTTTTCATTGATTCCAATGCAATATTCAACAAAACTCAATCGTATCGAAATGATATGAGACACATATATGTACACATAAATGAAATTATAATGGAAAATTAATTGATTTAATAAATACGTACACCACATCCAGGTCCAAAATTTCATTTCGCGAGATCGCGTGGCAAACAAATAGATCGCGACGATATGGAGAACGACGATGACAATGATATTACGCCAAATTAATGGCTGCTCCGCCGGCATGTGCTTCGGTGGTTGATTGAGATTCGAATCTCTACCATTTTCCGTCCCCGGTTGCACTAACATTTGATTTTTATTGCCCTCGTATTTGGTTATCGTTGAACTGTACATTGCTAGAAATATTTGGAACAATATTGGCATTTTTATTTCATCTATGTTTTAACTATCGTTTATATTTATCTTGTATGTTCATTTATATATATATATATAAACATATTGCGATAAAAGATTAAAAAAAAAATTGCACTACCTCAAGAGAAATAAATAGGATAAATCATAATTTATTTAGTTTATCTCATAACATGTTATTTTTTCAGGCTTTAGCAAATCCTTATTTTATTCTATTATCTATTTACAAAAATGTTGGTTATGTTTAGTACAAAAGATTGTATTTTTATGAATTTACAGAATAATTTTATAAAAACAGATTTAAAAAAATAAATATATCGATCTCTAACATAATCAATATATTAAGTACTTTAAAAGAAATACGAAATCTGCGTAATAATTTTCATAATCAATATAATAATATAAAACTGAATTAAAAACAAATAAACTGCAAAATTAAAAATAAGAAAGTAAAAAGTATAACAAGTAAAAAAATATAAATTTGCATCTATATATTTGCATGGACAGTATTAAGAAATCAAAAATATGTATTAATATAAAAAAGTAAAACGACATCATAAAGATGAGTCAATTACATATAAAAAGCAGACTTTCAAAATGAATTTTATTCAAAATATCATTTTTTAAGTTAGAGATGGCGTAGTATTTAATAAAAAAAAAATGAAAGACACATATTATAGACTACTTTGAAATCTTTAAAAAGCATTTTCTCAACAATTTATATACTAAAAAAAATCAAGACATTTGATGTGCGTTATGTCCTTTAACTAAAGACAAACAAAATGCAATTGTTTAACATTATTAGAAATTGTTTAGCAATTTTATTTAACATTTTACATCTTACTGATTAGGAAATGATTATTTTTTGTAAAGAGTGTGATTTCCTTGTGGTTTTTTTTTCTTTTTCTGAAAATTACAAATTTTAGGCAAAAAAACACATTTTAAAAGTCTGCTCCTCATACATTACATAACATATTATTTACTAAATTACATGTTGAGTCCATAATCTAAGGATTTCATTATATCAGTCTTCTTATTACGGCGATCTCGTGTTAACAAGCACCCATTGTTAGCTGCCGTCTCGATGTCCCGACGTGTAATTATCCGTTTTAGACGGACATATAAATCGACGAACGAGACGCGTTTCCTAGCTCACATGTAAGTCAATGTGCGATACGCGTTTCGTATCGTTGCATCGTATCACTAATAACGAATGTAATTTCAACATCTGCAACTCTCTCGTGGCAAAGTCAGTAGTATTCTCGCACTCCTGCTCGAAATGCGAGAACGCAAGTTCTCGTGGTCAAGGCAATTACGTATCACGCATTGCTAACCGATTCGTTTCGCCAAGACGTGTTTGACGTGAAAAATCAATGTAAAATATATATCTATACACACACACACACATACACAATAAATAAGTTTTGCAATAAAAGCCTTTACACAACTCGCATATATCTAAAATTAATTTATAAATACGAAAAATTATTTTATATGCATTGTAACTGTTTTCTTAAGATTCATTTAAGTATCACTTTTTTAAATATTTAAAATAAAAAACTCGTGACAGTAAACCGCAAGTATTTTGATACGCTCGATTGAACAATTAATTGTGGAGATATTTACAACTACTGTCCATATCAGATACAACTACTGCTTATATCAGATTTTTCTTGAATGTAATTTTTTATATGACAACGTTCAATTACCGTTTGACACGTACTCGGTTACAGAAATAATGAAAGCAGGTATGAAAATGTATATTGCGATAAAATGGATGATTATCCGCATCCTATAATGAACTATTACATACTATTGCTGACATCTAATCGTAAAATTCAATGTGTAAAGATTTGTCGAGATGTGAAATATAATTGTAAAAACTATATTTTGTGTGTGTGTGTGTGTATGTGTGTGTGTAAGAGAAATCAGTGCACAAAAAAATTAAGTCAAATGTAATAAAATAAATTTACTTAAATGAAGAGCATATTACATGTTTTGGCTCACTTTTGAGTCATCTTCAAAGTCTAGATACATGTATTGAATTATGTGAAATAGTAAATTGTATAAAAATTATGGTTAATGTGCTATCAAGTTCAATGCGATCATTCAGAGAACTTTCTTCATCGCAAAACCACTTGCGAATGTAATTAGAAAGCTTCTAGTATTATATCATTAATTCTACTTGTATATTTTTCCATTATTATTATGCTCTACATTTTATTATAATTATTAAATTCATAGGCAATGTTTTTCTTATTATATGTAAGTATATAGACATCAGAATATATCGAATTGAATATATCAGTTAAATATATCAATTGAATATATCACGTTGTACATATCGAGAAAAATTGTTTATATTACAAAGAGATGTAATTCTCGAGCGATATCGATTCACTATAGAAATAAAAATGGAAAATAAGATTGACGTTACTTTCTAACTTTTTATGCGAACCAAATTGATTTTTGACGGTTGCGATATAAAAACTTAATAATAATAATTGAGAACTAATGCTATCTTCATGTCGATGCATCTTTCTCGTAAATAGAATGCTAAGAATCTCGAATTATATTCAAATTAATATGTAAAATTTGATTTCTTTAAACAATATATTTTTACGCAATCTGATTCGCCTTGTGACGAACCATTAACAAAACTATAACAAAGTCAAAACTATATTTTAACGTTATTTTCGTTGACGCTATCAATTTCGTTGAATCTTTATCTGCGATATTCGCGCATCGTTTAGTTCTAACAGGCAGCAGTATAACAGATAACAGACCGTAATCTACAGTGTAATAGCGATCGTACTCCATGGCCCGCTCATAAAGCGCGGTCGCGATTTCTCGGCTGTTTTGTTTCCCCATGTACAGTTCGCGTAAAGACTGGTGCAATGACTTACGTTAATATGTATGAACCAGCCAGGGGATATTTCTGCTGGCGTAAATGCGGATAACGTGCCTCTATCGCTAGCGCCTACGCTACTCCGGATCCCGCGGTTTACAACCC